TCAATATCTAATACAAGATAAAGATGTTAGCTAATTATTATTCACCGGCCATTGAGTTGAGGTCATTGGGTCAAATGTTGTGTTATTTGCAACATGTGCTCATTGGAAATACGTGGCTCGGCATACATTTTTGTGAAACCTAAAATTTGTCAGTAAAATACATCTTTGTTGTAAGTTTCAGATGTACACATGTCCTTCTGTGTACGCAATGACAAGGCAGGGCTTGTCAGTAGTGGAAAGAGTACTGAAAATCATACTCAAGTTAAAGTACCTTTACTTGCCTAAAAATGTAGTGCAAGTAGAGTAAACGTATCTGTTGTAAATTTTACTCAAAGTATGAGTAAAAAGTAGCCCTTTTAAAAGTACTTATGAGTAGTGAGTATTATGCTGTAAAAAACTGATGCGTTTACATGTAATTTGTGGATGTGTGTAAACGTAACATTCTGTAGTGCATGTAATTATTGCCCAGCAGGCACACAACGTCAAAGGACGTTAATATTAGGTTAGATTTAGGTTGTGATGTCAAGTGACCAAAATTCAATGTCTAGCCCGCGTCTAAGGATAATGTTATTTTAATGTCTAATAACAACGTTAAATGACGTTGATATTTGGTTGATTTTAGGCTGTGTTAGAAAGTGACCAAAATCCAATGTCGAGCCAACATCTTAAACCAACATGCTATTGACGTCAAATACTGATATTGATTTTAATCGTCTTCTTGGACACTTTTAATGCTTCCAAACAGTTTGCTGCATTTATAAATCGCCCATGTCTTGAGGTAGTTCATTATGAGGCGATTTACTTTTTATGTGTGATTTGATTGGACGGGAATTACAGGACTGATTTTTTCTAATCCCCATAGACAAGAACAAATAAAGTATTCACTGCAGGTTGAAGGAAAGTAGTGGAGTAAAAGTACAGATACAGCACTAAAAATGAACTCAAGTAAGAGTAAAAGTACACATTTTTAAAATTACTCAGTAAATTACAATTCCTGAGAAAAAGTCATTAATTACAGTAATTTGAGTATTTGTAATTAGTTACTTTACACCACTGGGGCTTGTACAGATCACTTATACCCTTTTCTAAACCTAAACCCTTCTCTAAACTCAACCTGCAGTGCAGGGTTCATAAGGTCATGAAAAACTTAGAAAGGTCACAGAATTTTGATTTGGCATTTTCCAGGCCTGGATAAGTTTTGGAAAAGTCATGGAAAACAGATATCTGTATACTTGAATATAGGTTACAGTGTTTCCTCTAGGATTATTTCCAGCTGTGGCGGCAGGCCTTTTGCACAGATCTAACTACCTACGGCATTATTTCAATGCTAAATGTCATGAACGCAGTATTACAAGTCGAAATTGGATTTAAGTAGTACGAGCATGCAAATCTCTTTGCTTGCACGCTGATTTCCTCTGTTTGTGCGCACAACTTCTTGCACGCCCTCAAATATATGCTGCTTAAGCGCAGAATTTCTTGTGCGCTTTTAAATAAACGCTGCTGAAGTGCAATTTAGCGCGTTTATAGTGAGGATGTCTCCAACATTTATTAGATTGGCAAGGGATATTTATGAAGGTCTCCAATAGACCTACAGAGCGGCATTAATGCGTCCTGAAGTAAAGTGAAACGGCCATAAACTCCAGCAAGATAAAGTCTTTTTTTGTTGTATGCAGAGCCATAGACCTTTATCTCTAAATAAAGTATAATTATGGAAACTGTGTTCATCTTAACTGAAAGCTATACGTCGTGTTTGCTGGCTTCACGCATTACGCACCTGTCAGTCAATCAGTCAGTCACTATGTCATCCTAAAGGGTTAACACACAGCACTTTTACGGTTACAGAAAAGTTTGCACTGTTATAATTCACTTAACTTTTAATACATTTTATTGCAATTGATAATATAATCAATTTTACATCGATATAAATATAAATTGACACTAAATAGATTGTTGCATGTTTTACGGTATAAATTTGAACATGAATTGTTTTTCTTTTACCACACATATGTAGACAATGCATGAAACATTAGGTCATGAAAATGTACTTAAAAGTCTTGGAAAAATCATGGATGGAAAAGTCATGGAATTTTAGTAGTAAAATGTGTATGAACCCTGATAGTGGTTTGAGGGGCCTGAAATGTGCATTTTTTATTTGTTTTTGACAATCTCCACAAAAAAACAAAGAGGCGGGGATATAGTGTAGCTCCTCCCCTTTTAAAAAGCAACCAATAGCGTTTTTGTTTTTATCACAAACATTATTTCTACACAGAAATTAATTCATTTTCATGATTTTTATTGTTTTTCTTTTTAAAATAAACACGTTTTCCAGATTTGATTCTTGCAACACATTTCAAAAAACCTTTTTACGACACTTAAAAGAGGTTTAGGGACTGAAGACACCAAGTGATGAAGTGTTTCAGGTCTTAATGTGGGCAACAGTATGAGGTCATTTTCAAAATGCGCTACACAATCTCTATTCGAGAAAGGTCGGGACTGCAGGTAGGCCAGTCAATTACCTGTATCCTTTTCCTCCGCAGCCAGGACTTTGTCTGCAGAATGTGGTTTTGCATTGTCTTGTTGAAATATGCAAGGGCATCTCTGGAAAAGAAGGCAGCATATTGTGCTCCAAAATCCAAAATGTTTTAAAATAAAAAATCATGAGGAACACATTAAATAATGTTTGTTGTATTGTCGGCTATGAAATACAAGTCAAAGTAAATTTAGAAATCCCTACTTTCTTTTTTATTTGCGTTTTTTATATTGTCCCAACTTTTTTTGATTTGGCGTTGCAACTGAATAATTAACCCGTTGTTGGATTATTCTATTTGACTCAGTGCTGGGTTAGTGTTCATTAATGATGAACTACACTACAGACTCATTAATATCTAAATGTAAATGGTGTATGTACTGTATGAATGAATTTACAGCCTTAAAATTTAAATCAAGGCATTAACAAATTACTTTCAAATTATTCTTTTTTTATTCAGTCATTTTAGTCACACTTTACAAGGATATTAAGGGTTTAAAAAATTTAATAAAATTTAAATTGTAATTGTTTTTACCATGATGTAATGAATAAAATGTAATCATTTCATATTAAAGGCATAGTTCACACAGAAATTTAAATTCTGTTATCCTTTACTCACCCTTAAGTGATTCTGTGAAAGCAGCACATCTTGATGATGAAAATAAATGTTTTTGAGCATCAGATCAGCATATCAAAATTACATTGAAGACCATGAAGGACATTTAACACTCAAAGAACCAACCTTTACATTCCACCAAAGGTTCTGAAAAAAAAAAAAAAAAAAAAAAGTATATATATATATATATATATATATATATATATATATATATATATATATATATATATATATATATATATATATATATATATATATATATATATATATATACTAAGAAACAAATATTTGTTTAAATACCTGTTGGCTATAAGTTTAATTCTAAAAGTTTTTTGTGGCATCTCTGTGAAAACTCAATTTTGTCACCTTTATATTTAAGAGTGCATTAAAAATTTTAATATTTTACAATAATACTTTCTGTTGTATTTTTATAAATTTTATTAATATATTATATTAATTAAGCCTTAATGATTTCAAAATAATTCCTACACCGTTTGAACAGCATTGCACATTGTACAGTCTCACCTAATATCAGATTTAGCATTTTCTTATTGTCACCGCTAGATGCCAGCGCGGAGTTATTCTCCCCTTATCTCTCCCTCTCATGGGGTTTTCCTCATATTTCCGTGACATCAGAGGTCACTGAGCCACTTTAATGATCTCTTAACAAACATTTAATTGCAGTAAAGCAGTCAGCGTTTAAGGGGTGGAAAGTGCTGACGCGATTTTCCCGTGTTGCAGACGGAGAGGAATAGGAGGAGTGCTCGTGTTTCTGAATAAGGACATGTACAGAATATGGAAAGGCCTTAGTTACATTTGGATTTAATAGCCATGTTTTTTTTAAATATTATTTAGAATACTAGGACTGTTTTGGTGGGCTGATGCAAACGTTTTTTTTTTGTGTGTGTGTGATTATTTAGATTAAAAAAATAATAATCTGAAAAATAAAATGATTAATAAGGGTTTATGCAGGTTTCATCAAATAAAATGTAAGACTTTCAAAGACATTTTAAGACCATTATAAATGAAATTTTAGACTTAAAGGATAAATTCAAAGGATTTTTTTCCCGAAAATCTCAGTTGAAAAAGATTTTCTCCACCTATCAAAACTATTATAATTTAATACATTTAATAATAATTTAATAATAAAAAGATCAAATCAGTATCCTCAGCAGTAAATTAATGATGAACTTTTAAAGAAATGTTACTATAAGCACAGTAATTAAATGCTCTTTATAAGTAAAAAGTAGATTGTTGGTGATTTTATGGGTGTTAATGACCAGATTGGGCAGCTTTACACGAACAAAGGAAAATTAAGACCTGCTAAAAATGATTTAGGATTTACAACAATATTTCAGTAGACTTTTGAAGGCCTAAAGGATATCTTTTGAGATTCAAGACTTTTTAAGACCCCGCAGATACCCTGAAAAAAACACACCCTTTTCCAAAATATGGCTTGAAAATCCCCTTATTTGTCATATTTGTTGCCATTTGCTGAAAGCATACATTGGTCCATTTTTTTTATCATGGTGGCTGTTGTTTTATTAATCGCTTTTCTGAAGCCTAAATTATTAACACAGAATCTTTCTCTCATTCTGTTCAAAGTTTTTCCGCTTTAAGCAGAAACGGTCTCGATGTAGTCGATCATTTTAAGTATGAATATTTCCAGCACCATGGACAGTCCCAAATGGACCAATACTCTCATCGCTTTACTTGCAGGGCTCAAATAAATGCAGTTTACGGTTTTTCTCACATTTTTGCATGTGCACTCTTAGTCAGATAATGCCCGAGCTGTCTAATTTAGTCACAGCCCCTCTTAAGTTCACAGTCATGAATATCCTAAAGGTGGAAAAAAGAAACCCCACGTGTTGTGCTGTTTGACGTGCTTTGCGGAGAGCGATCCGTGTGAACTGTGCCCTCCTCCCGGGCTCCTCTCTTTCTCAGATACCGTTTCCTCCGCGCACACCGGGGGGCCGCGCGCAGACACACACACACACACACACGTCACCGCTGTCAGTCCGCCGCCACCGCTCGTCACATTGCTGGGTTTCAGTTCGGTTGAGATGCTGCTCAGACCCGCAGCCTCCTCACAGAGAACCGCGTTTTCTCGTCTTTCCTACAGCGACTACTGGTGAAGCCAAACAAGGGAATGAATCACGGAAAGCGACAGTTTAAAGGCGGAAAGAAGGAGAAGACGTCGCCAGAATGACCCCTGTCAAAGAGACGCGTTTTCTGCGCTCGTGAAGCTCATCCAGCGGATTCAAAGGGGCGCGCGGGCAGCACAACCAGCCGTCAATCATGCCGGTGCGACGGGGTCACGTCGCGCCACAGAACACCTTTCTCGGGATAATTATCCGCAAATTCGAGGGTCAAAGTGAGTGACGCCTTCTTGATATGTTTTTTTTGTCATAGGAACAATAAGAGCGCCCCGTGTTTCGATTCTGTTGCTGTTTGTTGTTAGTGTGACCTCTGATAGTGTGAATTTATCTTCGCAGCCTGACTGTACGACTCATTTAAATCTGTCTAATCGTAGAATTGGATGCATTCATTTAATACTACTACCGTTTCGCGTTGATGTAAACATTGATTAGTTAAAGGGGCAGTTCACCTAAAAATGAAAATGCTGTCATCTTTTAGGCTACTCACCCTTTTCAACCCTTTGCTAAACACAAAAGACATTTTGAAGAAAGCTGTTAACTATTGAGTATTTGTTTTTTTCTAAGGTCAGTGTTTTTGAGTGCTTCAAAATATTTCTGTCTGTGCTCAACAGAATAAAGAAACTCATAAAGGTTTAGAACCACTTGAGGGCAAGTAAGTAGTGAGTGCATTTTCATTTTTGGGTGAACTGTCCCTTTAAGTGATGACAGTACCATGGATTTCAGTCTTTGGACTCTTTTTCCATTAGCCGTTTGGGTGGAAACTGGTTATTTGTGTTGTCCAGGGCTTGCTAACATCATGTCAGTGTCTTCAAAATTCACACTTTGTGATGTGTTTGAGTGTTAATGTGTTTACTCACACTACCGAAGGCACTCAGCTGAAGGGCCCGGTGTCTCCTGCCAAAATCTCACTCGTCCATGTGTTACTGTCTCTGCCGCCTTACCCCAAACATAACTGTTCAAAGAAAAGGGCATGTTGTGCTTGAACAATATGGATGTGTGCATAAATGTTTAATTTAGGTAAAAAATAGGCATGAGCCGGTGTTTGCTTGAGACATATTTGTTGACAATCATTTGTGCAAATGACATTTGCATTATTTTGGGTTTTTACTCTAAATCAAGGTACCACCATGTTTTTTTTACTTATCCTGTGTTTTGTTAAACATTGAATTTACAGTGAGGCTCCAAAAGGGAGTTCACCCATAAAATGTACATTTTATATTAACTTACCTATTTTCATTTAACCATTTTAGATGTAGGTCATTTTTTATTTTATTTTATTTTATTTTATTTTTTTGCTGAAACTGGTCGTTAGTGATTTATAAAATGGCAAGTCAACAGCTACTAACATTTTCAGCCTAAAACATGTAGGCCTACAGAAAAAAAACTAAATTGTCTATGGCTTGTTAGGAATGGGATGATAACCGTTTTCAAAGGTGTACTGCGGTTTGAAAAAGTCAAGGTATTAAAACCAACAAAGTTTTCTGCTCTTCCGTTTCTACGGTATTTATAAGGTGTGTTTTTTAGTATCAACAGTGTCTTTAGCAGAAAATATTTTGAAGATGCCGTTTTAAATTTTAATGAAATCTAAGTTTTTTTATGGTGGACGAGAGAGCTTAATGCGCTGCAATTTAAGAAAACACCTGAAAATTAAGAAATGAGATGTTGCAAATTCTCACAACACAATTGAAGAAATGTGCTGCATTTTGTCACAACACAAACAACTGAAGAATGCGCTGCATTTATTAAACACACTGCATACTATTAAACTGCATTTCAGATTTAATCGTAAGTTTCTTTAGCCAAATAATTTACAAAAGACAATGAAATTGTGTAATCAGGATATCAAAATAATAATAAAAAACTCATTTTTAAAAGACCACCAACAACTTCACTAAGCAACAGTTACAGCACAACAACACATCCATATCTCAGCAGTGTCCGTCATGTTTTTAGCTCCCCTTTCTTAATTTGCTGGTGTTTTCGGTAATTGCTTAAATTGTCTTAAATAGCTGCGCATTTAGCTCTCTCGGCCACGGTAGGTTTTAGACCTAATGAAGAAAACAGAAGTCAATGATTAATTTGAGCTATTCAACCTGACATGTTTACTGCTCTAAAACATTTTAAACGTTTCTCAAAACAAAATATATTGTGTTCTAAGGGGAACATTTTTTTGTTTTTTACCCAGATATATATATATATATATATATATATATATATATATATATATATATATATATATATATATATATATATATATTTTTTTTTTAAGCAGTAATCACTGCTTAATATCACACCGTGATATTTTTATCCAAGGTTATCATACACTCAGAATCTTACACCGGCCCATGCCTACTTGTTAAAATTGATGTGACATTTGATGAAGAAGCAATGATCGGAAACTGCACATTATTTCCAATGTTATTACCTTTAACCCACAGCCTCAGCAAATGGTTCTGAGCGTGTCCATGACAGTCAAGAGCACTTCCTGTCGCATAATGACAAATGCCTAAGCAAAAGCGCACACATTAGCTGTCGCTGTTTGTTTATAATGGAGAGAGAGGATGCGTGTTCATCTAAATGGAACTTACTTGATGCAGGGTCGCAATCAGAAAGATTCAATTTTCACTGATCGCTAGCTTTTAATATGTTATAATATGTCAGGACATTTGCTGACTCTGAAAGGAGGTGTCTTGCATTTTATGAATCGCCAAGGATCACGATTTCAGCTAAAATCCTTTTTAATGTTCTACTGAAAGTAAAAAGTTATACCTACAGTACATCTTGGAACAAATTAAAGGAAAATGTTAAATGAATTGTAAAAAAAATGTAAGCAGTTTGGACCAGTTGTTTAAATTAAGAGAAATATTATGCATGTTTACATAATTTTCATTAACAAACATTTGATCTTTAACCCTTATGTACTGTTGGGGACGTTTTCATCTACTCTGGGATTATTTTGTGTCGTAATTTAGCCATAACTTTTTCAGTGTTTTAGCTAGCAGAATGATTTTTAGTGATAAATCATATTTTGACACATATTTTGAGAAGATGCTTTGCATTTTGTTTTTAAACTTAACGATACACTTTGGGTAAACGTGCTACCCTTTTGTTATGTTCGGCATAAAAACATCCACTAAATTAACCATTTAAATGCATCAGATAAATATATATATATATATATATATATATATATATATATATATACACACACACACACACACACACACACACACACACACACACACACACACACACACATATATATATATATATATATACACACACACACACACACACACACACACACACACACACACACACACATATATATATATATATATATATATATATATATATATATATATATATATATATATATATATATTTAAGTAGTTCTTTTTAAAATATTGTCTCGGTTGTTGTGGCTACTAAGCCATATTGACTTAAACAGAAATTAACTGATTCAGATTAGTGTCAGAAAACATGTTAAAGGCTACTATAAAAGGTGCGAATTCTATACAGTTTTACAACCGTAGAGGGGTCCATAGACTGCAAAAAAAAAAAAAAGTTCTATTGTTGCACAAACGGGTAAGCATTTTAGTGACTTTTCCACAACATTATCTATTGTAGATAAGACCGTTAATGACGATTCTACCGTTTACAAACTACAGTGGCACCTGCATCTGTATCACGATGCTACCATTGTACTTTTAAACCGTGCAATCCTAGTCCACAATTACTTTTAATGTTGAAAATACGTCATTTTATGTGTTTCTTTCATCAAATCAGGGACCTAATTTGTGAATTTACCAAATAAAGAGTTAAAATCCTGTACTTTTCTAAACAGTTTAGTAGTTTTGATTAGGACTCAGGTTGATAAACAGATTTATGCCAAAAGAGAAAGATTTTTTTTTTTATGCATTTTTACAGAAGTTTAATTCAGTGGATGTTTTAATCCTGAACATAACAAAAGGGTACATTTAAACAGTACACAAGTGCTGTAATGTAAACATTTTTATTTTTATTTTCATTGCCCTGTCATGGTGACAAAGTTGTGAAACTGGACTCAATGTTTCAGCACTAATAATATAAAACAATTCAGTTTTCACACTTAAATCATGCCAGTGTCTATCGTGGCTGCACTTTTAAGGTGTCTGTTTTGTTTTTATGTGTACAAATTGTTCATTACCATCCAAAATGTTCCAGTAAGATCATACAAATGCTTAACAACATAGTGCTACACATGATTTCCTCATGTATTGATAGAAGGTTTATGTTAAATGCATACAAATGCTAAAAGACAATGATGTATTTACTTGTATAAATACTGGTTTTAAAAGCAAAGACGTTCTCAGCAATCACAGTGTAACATTCAAAGCTTTTCCGGTTTAATGACTCAAATTTACAACCCCACATTGAGTAATCTAATGGAGCACACTGCCAAAAGCGCCAGTGCTCATATGGCAGGATAAGTAGCACTCTCATAAAAGCTTTGGGGATGATTTGCTGTATCCTTTAACCCTTGCACACCTTCTTTATCCTAATAACGGCTCCGTTTTGTTTGTTTTTTGCAGACAAAAGATTTGTCATCGCCAACGCACGTGTCCAGAACTGTGCCATCATCTACTGCAATGATGCCTTCTGTGAGATGACAGGGTTTTCCCGGCCGGACGTCATGCAGAAGCCATGCACCTGTGACTTTCTGCACGGACAGCTGACCAAGCGGCACGCTATTGCACAGGTAGCGCAGGCTCTCATGGGCTCGGAGGAGCGTAAAGTGGAGATCACCTACCACCGCAAGGACGGTGAGTGTGTGCGCTTTGTGTCTTTATAAAGGGTGTCCACGAGGTCTTAAAAAGTATTCAAAGTTGATAAATCAGCTGGTTATTAGAAAAATATAGAAAGCCTTTATTTTAAATAATGGTTGCAAGAATTGTCTCATTGTTTGGCTTTAGAAAAATGAATGTATATAGTCAAGTTTTCCAAATTTGGAATCCCTTTATAGAATTTCTGAAGAAAGATGATAGACAACTTTTTTTGTATAACTTGTATCTTGTAGCACATGCTATTGATATACCGGTGTTGTTATATGATGTACTTTTATATTGTATGAATATGTACTTGGATTTATTTTCTATATTCTATATACCGGCCACTTTAATTGGTACACCTACTTACTAGTACCGGTTGGACCCACTTTTGCCTTCACAATTGCTTTAATCCTACTGGATTAAATCCTTTAAAGGTGCTGAAAATATCCCTCAGATATTGACACGATAGCATCACACGGTTGTTGCAGATATGTCCATGATGCGAATTTTCTGTTCCACCACATCCCAAAGGTGCTCTATTGAATAGAGGTCTGGTGACTATGGAGGTCATTTGAGTAAAGTGAACTCATTGTCATGTTCAAGAAACCTGTCTGAGCGTTTTCCTGCTGGAAGTAGCCATCAGAAGATGGGTACACTGTGGTCATTAAGGGATGGACATGGACATGGCGCAGAACTGCCGCTCACTGGATATTTTCTCTTTTTCAAACCATTCTCTGTAAATCCTAGAGATGGTTGTGCGTGAATATCCCAGTAGATCAGCAATTTCTGAAATACTCAGACCAGCCTGTCTGGTACCAACAACCATGCCACGTTCAATGTCACTTAATTCACCTTTCCTTCCCATTCTGATGCTCGGCTTGAACTGCAGCAGATCGTCTTGACCATGTCTACATGCCTGAATGCATTGAGTTGCTGCCTTGTGATTGGCTGATTATAAAATTTGCATCAACAAGCAGTTGGACAGGTGTACCTAATAAAGTGGCCGGTGAGTGTATATATAAATGTATGTGTTTTTTGTAAAGTTTTTAAAAATAATTTTTAGTTTTTGTATATTTGGTTTTGATTTCTTTAGTACATGTTAAAAGCTCCTACAATCAATAAAGACAGTGCTTAAGAAAAGTTGATAAATCAGTTTGGAGAAAGTTAAGACCCTTAAAAGTATTTAAAAGTCTTTGATGCTATTTTACAGGGTATTCAATTTTGCATCATTTTTGATTATACAATGTCTAATTTTATGCTAAATTTTGCCTGAATTTAATCTGCGAATTCAATGGAATGCTCTATAGTTTTTGAAATCCATAAAACCCTGCTACTGTAGATTTGACATCACATTGCTTTGTTTACTGCAGTTGCAAGGCAATACTATTATTTCTGCTGTTCTATAGGGGGCATCTTCTTTTTTGTTCATTATATGAATAATGTTTTACTTGGGTATTACTTTCTTTCAATTAAAATGTTGTTAATGTAAACGATCAAAACCTTAAGTGGCGATGAGGTCTTATGGAAAGAGTCTTATGAAAGGTTTTAAAAGATATTGAATTTTACTTTCTGATTCCTGTATGTACCCTGTTATAGCAGCTCTGTCAACCTGAACATTTCTGTTAGAGTCGTAGTTTACAAAATGATAAAGTGTTTATTAATGTTTTGATTCACGGAGGCTACATATGAAACCTCAGTGAACGGAAAAAGAGCACATTGCTTAATGGAAAAGAATGATTCATACACGGTGCTACAGAAAATATGCCATTAACCACTTATAAGGAAGCTATTAGTAGGTTGATTCATACATTAGCTGTGTGATTCTATGGAAACCCTTGATTGTTTGAGAATCCCAGTTAGTCCTACAGGTCCCGTGAAGGGCTTGGAAATGTGCATGTTTGTTTGATGTGTGACCAAATTTGATGATTGGTCAACGTTTTTGGTAATGTTAGTTGGTGTAATATAGGATTTAGTTTATCAAATTTATTTGATCTAATACATTATTAAAATGTATTGAAGTAGTGCATTCTGGCCTACAGTAACAGCTGAATAGCTATTTCAGAGGTTACTCTAGGTAGGACAATACAAACTATTGATAAATTTTTACTTTATTTTAGGCTAAATTTTGATACAAACAACTATTTTACAAGGAAAGTGTCTTGTGAACACTTATGGAGTCAATCGGTGCTGTAGATCTGTTGGTTTCAGACGTGATTATGCATTCACTATGGTATGAACCAATATAGGGGTGGCCAAATGTATATTTATATAACTATATTCATTATTTTTAATTTTCGATATTATAATGTAAAAAACAGATCGTAGAAAACTATCTCTCACTATTAAAGCCAATAGCTTTTCATGTTTATCATAGCACTGCCAGTGAAAGTAATTGAGCTCACGCGAATATAGCAATAGCGTTTCGAATGGGGCGGGACATGTCAAATACTAGAGAGCATTTGATTGGTCAGAAGATTTGATGAGGTGACGTCAAAAATAATGTTGATCCTGTTAGATGGAGGTGACAAGCGGTAAGCTTTGGATGTTTATTTCTTCTTATTTCAAAATCTGTCACTGTTTTTGAGCATGCTAGCTTTTAGATATCCTTAAGACTAACATACTAATACTAAGGGTGCTTTCACACCTGTGAATCGATTCAGTTGTTCCGAAACAGAGATTACAATTGTTACATTGTTGCTCTTTGCGCTTGGAGCGGTTCGCTTTCACAATGCAAAGTTTCTAATCGGACCAAAAGAGCTAAAACAAGTCACGTGCGAGTAAACTCTCCCTACATTGGTCAGAGTGTCAGGGTTTATTTTGCAGCGTCCCGCTCAGCTGTCAGGAGAGGTGGTGGTTTGATGGTGATTGACAGGGTGCGCGCGACGTGTCTGAGGAGAGACACGGTGGGGAGGGGTGAGAAGGGTGCGCGACGGTGCCTATTTGAGGACCGGGAGGGAGACGTGAGATTACCGGGAGATCATCACTCGTTTGCGGGCACCTGGAGACTCGCGAATCTTCCCGCCATGCTCATATTTCTCTCTTCATATAGCCGTAAGCCTATTACATATCCATAAAACACTGTGATATAACCGTGCTCGGATCGGATCGCTTTCTCACTGCAATCGAACCGCTCCAGGGTTCGTTTCAATCGAGCCGAGACCACCTCACTCAAGCGATCTCGGAGCGATTACTTTGGCGCGGAACAGAGCGCGATTGCCCTGTTCACATATGCCAATCGAACCGCGCTAACTGGGCAAACGAGACACGTTCCGAAACAAAAGTGTAGGTGTGAAAGCACCCTAAGATCTGAAACACATTATTTTGATTTCACAGGGACATGTTGGTTGTTGTATTTAGAATGTTGTGACTACTGCCACAAACAATAATTATATGATTAATTAAGTGATCCCTCACAGTGCTAAAAAGACATTTTCCTGAAGCTTATCAGGTGCCGGGTCAGATCAAGTCAGTTTGTTGTCAATTGTTGAAAAATTTCTTACACTGTTCAGATGTTCCACAATCCACGATAGCTATGCTTCCATCAAAAGATGCAAAATAAATTTATGCACAAAACATGAGGATTGCATATAAGACGTGCAAATAAAACAGTGTTTCTATAAAATTAGTCAAAGAGAACAAAACCATCACTTCCTGATTAACTGGTGCCAAAAATCAAAAAGACAATCCCGACACACAGTGAACGCGTGGTGGAGTTTGAAGGTGTGAGACGTGGAACACAGACACTTTTGACAATTCTGGAGGTAATTAATATTGTAATAACACTAATATTGGCGTTTTAAAATGACCAAAACAACATTTCGGATGATTTACAATGTGGTCAGCCTGCTGGTTTGTCCATTAATATACATTTTTACCATCACAGGATCTCTAATAACAAAATCACATTTTTTAATGCACATACTGGAATTTGTTCGGTACAACTGTTTCCCTGGTAGTTTATGTGCATCTTTTCTTATCGCGTAAAAAGTTCATTCTACTCAATTATGCGCATGTTTTTTATGTGCATTTTCAAAACTTATGCACATTTTGGTGTTTCCAACGTAGCTTATATTAACTGAACCTGTTCAGTTGCGTGAAAACAAAATCCAAGCAATGGCAACAGACTATGACAGGGGTAACACACCGAGAGACAGAGTTTGTTAACTGTGCGGTGTAAATTAACCTTTAAAGCCGCCTGTCCACTGCACATGACAAATGACAAGCGACAGACCAGAAGTCATTCATTTCTAATGTAGAGCAGTCCGGGAGCTACGTGGATTTCCAATCATCTCCGTATGCGGAAATTAGACATGGGATGATTACTGTGTTCAAGGTATACTGCGGTTTGGAAAAATTGAGGTTCCCTTGACGTTGGGGTACAACATTAATCTGACGTCATGTTGACATTCTGTGCCTGCTGGGATGTTTACTGTTCCATAATAATTTAAATGTTTCTCAAAATAAAATATAATATGTTCAAAGGGGAAAAAGTTTTTTACCCAGATATTAAAAAATAGTAGTATTCAATACTGTGAATGCGGTACTTTTTATCCAAGGTTATCATACCGTCAGAATCTTATAGCGGCCCATGCCTAGCAGAAAATTCAGATCCAATTTAAGTTGTGGTTCCGTTAAAATATTTCAACTTCTGTGACTAGACTGTATGCCACCGGCCGACTGGATGTGATGTATTTCAGTGTTGTCCAAGCAGGTCTGTGCATGCAAGATGAGAAATTGTTTTTTAATTTTTGAATTTTTTTGAATTAGAAAAAAAGGTTATATTAAGAATATCATTTTGATTTATAAATGAGTAATAAAAAAAAAAAAGTATGTTGTCTCCACATTCACCACAACATTTTTTTCAGTCTATGAGTTTCTAGTATTTATTCGTTCGTTCGTTCGTTCAAACATGATGAACGCACAGAGATTAAACGCTCTTGCTTTTGCACTACTTTATTTTGGACGCCGCAAGAATCAGCTTCTACACTATGGTG